AACAGGTACTGAAGCAGATAACAAAAATAGAAAAGAAAAACTGGCTGTGGAAAACTAAACTGGGAAAACTGAAAAGTACAAGAAAACCCAAAATAAACCACTCAGAGAATGTAACCCAACTTACAAATACTCCAAAACTGAAATAAGCCCACACTTGGAGATGAAAGTGCTCTAAGATGTGATGCGGGCTGATCATTCCAGACTTCGTTTGTGAGAAGATTGTTAATTCAATCTTGAATTTAACAGGAAACCAATGATGAGAAGCTAATATAGACAAATATCATCTCTCTTTTGAGTCCCTTTTTGAGTACTAGTGTTTTGGATCAACTGAAGACTCTTCAGAGATCTTTTAGAACAATTTGATAATAAGTAATTGGAATACTAAAAAGTATGGACTGGTTTTCAACATCTTTCTGAGACTAAATGTTTCTAATTTTACCAATACTGTGCAGATGACAGAACTCAGTCTTACATATTTGTTTAATATGCACATATATGAACATATCCTGGTCAAAAATGACTTAAATATACCTCAGTGTTACTGGAGACAAAAGTAATACAGTCCACAGTAAGCACCTGGTTAGGCAACATGTTTATAAACTTCTGGCCGAGAACAATATTACAGATCATTCAGCGCAGTATGTCTGTTGGATATAACTTAACAAATTCATTTTTGTTATCTGGGTTCTAGATAAATATAATTGGGTGTCATCTGCATAGCAGTGAAAATGTATGTTATCTATTCCAACAATATTACCTAAGACAATTTTTTCTTTCTTAAACTAATAAGACTAGCATCACTGGGATTCCTACGAATTTGGCTGTAAGGCTGCATACTGTCCACATTTATGTAATAGCTCATATTCTTACCAGTTGGAGAACGGTATCCATAGACTTCCACTTCACAGAGTGTGAGAATCTTTCTTGAACCAGGCAGAGTCAATATAACATAGCGCCCCTCTGCTCGATCAGTGAAAGTCACACTGAAGGATATGCCAGCACCAACTTCAGAAATTTCACCAACCCTAACAAAAAGTGTGTGAGAGAGAAATATAGGATATATAGCTTTAGTGTCCTTGTGTGTAGCTTACCAGGGTAACATATTAGAACATGTGATTGTCAGTAATACAGTTGGTTCCATAAGTTTTTGGACATTTTGTAGGTTTTTAAATCAAATGATATGCAGCTTTCCGCTTTGGTTCAAGGGATTTAAGATTAAAATTACATTGTTGTTTAGGAATTACATCTGTCTTAATACATATATTATCACAGGCTAAAAATTAATTGGACAAACTAACATAATTTTAAAAGTAAGGATTGTTTTTAACCCCTTACAATGAACAACTGCTTGACGTCTACAACCCATGGACATCAACAAGTGCTGTTTAGTTGCTTGAGATGTTCTGCCAGGCCTTTACTGCAGCTACCTTCAGTTGCTGCTTGTTTCTGGGTCTATCTGCCTTCAGTTTTTCACTGTCCATTTGGACAGTGTCCAGTAAGTTTTACAGTATTTAGCTGAATCTGAGGAGTTCTGCAGTTTTGTACCCTGTATGCCTCAAGATTCATCCAGCTGCTTCAAATGGCAGTAACATCTTCAAACACTCTCAGTCATACACTGCCTATACCATCAGATTGCCTCCAGTATATTTTCAGATAATATGGTTTTCGGTCTTATATTTAAAATTACTACAAAAAGCCTCAGGGAGTCTCGGGGAACAGGCCTAACCTGGCCATAAAACTGCCTGTCAAGCTTTAACTTATGAGACTTTGAAAATGAGTTTAAAAATCGTTATAATTCATATAGACTTATTCCCTTGAATTAAATCTGGAAGCTTTAACTTCATTGACATATCAATTAGCTGTTTTAAATCAATTCCAAAATTGGTTTGACTGACACAAAAATTGTGTCAATCCAACAAATTGTGGGCCAAACTTTAGAGCAAATCAGACTTTATACTGAGATGTATTTTTAAGTAGTGGTATATCTGTAGCAAGCAGCCGGAAGTTATAGAGCAAAAATGATGGCAAATGAAGTAACAGATGTTAAGCCTTCAAAACCATTGACTGTCAGCTTTCAGACTATCAATATTTGATTTAACTATAACCACATGTCCAGAGATATAAACCCTTTTCTCAAAACTGACAAACAAAGGAGCAACCTCTACTGCTATCACTGATCCAGTTTGAAAGACAGCGGTAAGCCAAGATCGCTAACACCAAGAGAAACAGAAAAAGGCTAAATAAAAGATAAAAAAATCTCTCTGTATAAATTGATGGTATTTTTTTCTTTATTTGTACTAACTTTGGGTTTCCTAAACCTTCGTTGTTCAAAGAGTTGCCTATGTGGATCTTTAGCCCATTGAGCCTTTCATGACAGCAGTCTCCTCTGTTGGTGATGGTGACAGAAGTGATGATGTAGGACTGAAGCAGGTCCACTCTCCACCAGGGACGGTTCTGTGCACTAGTGAGCGTGCACGATCCCGCCCTGAAGTCAGAGTTACGGTTTCCATCAATTGCATTGTGGGCAGCTGAGAGGACGTGGTCCTCAGAGATCGACTGGGCTGCTGTACCACGCAAGGCCACATTTTCTGTGAATTAGGGAGTCACAGAAATAAGATAAAATAATAGGAAAGACATTCAAACAGACAGCAAAACTGCCCAAGCATCTAAGTTGTTGCACATGAGTTATGAGGTATTTATTTATGTGACCTAATTTCTACTGGAATTAATAAAGTATTATAATTATTTCCTTTCTGAGTTAGCTTATGCAGATTTGTTTTGTAGTATGACCTTCAGAAAGGTCAGTCTAGCTTTTACAGCAGGACAACATAAACCACAAACTTTTATGCAGAACACAATTCTAAAAACCAAAATATACTGTATATGAATTACTTATAGGCACTTGCTGCCAGAGTTGTGAAAGTCCAAAACTAGTCGTCTTGGAGAAAATAACACCAATACTTTAAGCAGTCCAGACAGTCAAATTATAAATATACATTATTTGATATTATAATGTATTTTGAACAAGCATGTCAGTATAATTATTTTACAAGACTCCTACAAGCAGACCACTCTGAATGTGTCAGTAAATAATATTCTGTTTTCCTCTACGCATGCAGTTAGTTTGTTGATTTGCAAAGTTTTCAGTTGAGTCGTTTGCAATAGCGTAACCCTTCTGTGGATTAAATCTGCATGTAGTCTGATTTCTCATAGTTTCCATGGATTTCTGATTTCATTTTTCACTCCTGTATCAGAATGCATAAATTCCTTTCCCATTGTTTTTTTTTTTCTGGATATTAAAAACATACAGAAAATACCTGTACTTTGTACTTTGCTATATTATAGAAATAAACTGTCTGCACCAGCATTTTTCACACATTAGTAGATCATCTGCACAACTTCCCAATCTCATAGGTGATTTTTTGTTTGTCATTATGGCCTCATGTTAATTAGCATTATGTAAATCTTTGACTTATGTGATAACCCCCACTTAAGCATTTGTGGATTTTTAAATCAGGAGTATTATCTCTTGGCAGCAGGCATTTTCATAGCTACTGAGGCAAGGACTGTTGCTAAAGGACATCTTTGTATGATGCTGATACGCCATTTTTAACATTTAAGACATTACTCTCATGTCACACTTACGATAAGTGGAAGTCGAACTCGTTCTTAAGAGGAGCAGCAGAAGGAAAACACTTGTTTTCATTATTCTGGTTAAGAAAGATGATATCTGTTGAGAACAAACAATATTTAGTCCTTTCTAGTTCCTAGTTATTAGTTATTACTGTAAGTATATTCCATTAGGACTCTTTCTTGAGAAATAAGCTAAGTCTATCTCCTTTTTCCCTGTGGAATCTGGTCAGTGAGAGTCAAAGGCTTTAAAACAATATTTTTCCAGGTTCCTTCCTTAAATGGTGAGAAGCAATATGCACAATTTGTAGACTCTGAAGAAATACTAGAAGTAAAGTCTCTAGCAGACACCATTTATTTGTTAAATCAGGTGGGGATTTATACTGAAAAGTGATCTTACAATTGAGTTCCTCTTTTCGTCTGTAACAGATTCAATTCAATTCAATTCAATTTTTCTTTATTGTCCCACTAGGGGAAATTAGTTTAGCAGCAGGAGGATAAGAACAACAGAACAATACTATAAAACAATAATAACAATAATAATGATAGAAAATTCAAGGACAATTATTTGCCATTAAGGAGACAAGACGCAGTAGGGATAAAAGAGACGGTCATTTCTAAGTGTGCTTTTGATAAATAAAAGAAAGAAAAGTGTTACCTGAGGATCGGGACAAAGCAGTTGCCTTTTTCCTGAAACAAAAGCTGCTATTAATTATATTTCTGTTTGTTTTTATCAATGCATCTCATCTCTCAGCTGAATCACACCAAACCAAACATTAAAATTTATCTCATATTCCTCTTCAACTCTGTCTATTCACGACCCAGTGGTTTGTTCCCAGGCATCTGTGTTCCACTTCCAGTCATGACCTAACTTTCTAACACTGTGAGCGAAACAGTGCACCGTAATGCAGATTTTTTTTTTTTTTTTTTTACTGATTATTTTGCAACATCCTTGTTCTTGTACTTGCGTCACACACTGTTGTTCAAAAGTTTGGGATCGCCTCGAGCTTTCAGAAAACAGATAGAGGTTCCAGGGCACCAATAACTGTTTCTGTTTTTCTACATAATGAAAACATTTTCTATTGAAACAATGAAATAATGCTCAAAAATGTTCACTCAATAGAGGGGTCTGTGCCTGAGGTTATTTTCCAAAAAAATCTAAACACACATATTTTCCATGACAGGATCCAGAGCATGTTTTGCAATTTCAATGAGGAAAATCTACAGGATTTATGGACTTCATGTGCCAGTTACTGGTAGACTTTGTTGCCCCTCTCATGTGTACTGACATGACTGTTTCCAGTATTGGGCCCAGTATATTTGGTGTTGTACATGTGCTAAGCTTTGGCAACAGCAACAGTGTTTTTAATGAAAATGTGTGGATGTGGTTCTAGAGTGGGAATTAGAAATTATAGAAGAGAGCCGTCAATGATCAAAGTTCAGACTGAACTTAAATCAGATAAAAGTAGTTAAATATGTTAAGCAGCTGATAATGCAGCTTAAGCACAAATATGCAGAAGTACCAGAAAGGCCACAAACTTCTAGTGAAAAGTAAAAATGCCTAGCTGCACATTTTCACTTGCCCGGGTGTTTCAACATGACATATACTGTGACTTCTCCATTTTCCCAACTGAAACACATAAGCCAACAAATCTGCAGCAACTGTATGATGTTATTGTTTCAGTCACTTTCTTCTCCACCACACTCCCCTGCCACATGTGACAGGTTTTCTACTTCACTAAATTTATGAACCACCTCTGACGTCTTCCTCTTTTCCTCCTGCCTGGCAGGTTGAACATCCATTGCCCATTGCCCCGCTATCCTTCCTCTTCCTCTTGCAGTACATCATCATATTCTTACCCTACGTCCACAAAGACACAGTAAAGCTTCTTCTGATCTTCACTTCTCCATCAGCTCTCTCAAAACAAACAGCCCATCTATAATGCTCTTTCTTAGAAGAAAACTATACTACTGCTTGCTGATCATCACCTCTCTTCTTAACTGAGCTTCAACAGCTCTTTCCCATATCTTCATGGCATGGCTCATGAAACTTATCCCTAGCGAAGACTGTGATGTACAGCGCTGTGCTCTTGACAATCAGCACCAGCACACTTCTTTCCTGTTCCTCAGGCGTCCTCTCACGTTTCCAGATTGTGTTAAAGTTGTTTAAAAAGTCCACTGTCCATCTCCATACCTCCATACCTCTACAGTTATGTCATCTATCCATCATATCAGCCAGCTCTTTCCATCTTCCTGTATAAAGTCTCTATTGTCACACCCACACTCCTACCTTTCCTTCTCACTCACTTTCTGCAAAACCATCTTCCATCGTTCTTCTTACTTTTGTCTTTTGTCTTTGGTCAACACTACCAAGTTTCCACTGCAACTCTGTTGGCCAACAGCACCGGATGTGGTGGTTGTTAACCTGAGCCCAGTGTGGTAATCTCATTCTTGATGATCCGCATTGAAATTTCAGCATAAAAAAAGGGGTCATGCTCAAGACTAAAGCTGATAAAATTAGACAGTACAACAAGAATTTTAAAATAATGTAATTTTTGCAGTGATTAAATTCAGACTTTTCTTGGAGCAGAGATTGTTACAGCATATGAAATGCTTATGATGAAACAAACAAAACATCCAACAAAAAGCAACAGCAGTGAGAATTGAGAAGTCAAAAAAATCAAATGTACTGTAATTACACACTAATGTCACGTACTAGAATATCACATTGTTTTACTTGAATCAACAGTCAGTAGACACAAACAACAAACATGTTTTACATAGAATCAAAAAAAAATCAAAAATTATTTTACTGTAACAGTTCTAATCTAGCATACATTTTTTTCTTCTAAATTTCCAAATACTTTTATAATGTATGATCCATAAGTGACTAATCAATGTTCTATTTATTAATCTACTGTTTTGATCTATGCAAGATGTAATAAATACCTAATTAAACGTCTGCAGTGTGCAAGCTTTGTGTTTGTTTTTCTGTTTTCTTAATCCAGCCTAGAGCCGTACACTTCGACCTCACACAGACTCAGGAACTCTTCTCTGTCGGGAATGACAATATTAACATAGCGGCCTTCGGTTCCATTGCATGTGAACTTAGCAACAACATCTCCAGCGATGCTTGTGATCACAGCACACCTATCAGAGGAAACAGAAATTTAATTTGTTAATCCCAGTCAGGACAAATTATTTGTCCGTGGTGTTCTGGCTCACTGAACTCCACGGATGTCCTTTGAAGACTAACAAATCACATCACATCGTAGTCTACCCCAATGTATACCGTGCACACATGGCACAAGCTGCTTGTCAGTGACACATCACAGGGAGGTGAATCGCTGTCTGAATGCTGAATTAATGCTGTCTGTTAGTGCTGTGCAAAGTAATCTTCATATAGAGTGGCACTGTTTGTGGTCCAAAAATGTACATTCCTGACAGTCATAGTTTATAAGAATCAAACGTTCCCATGCAATTTATTAGGAAATGAATGCGGGTCATTTTTGACCCGCTTATGCATCTAGGGGTTAAGAAAATAAGTGCATGAATTACTTTTGTCAGCAATAAGACTGCAGAAGCTGTAAGATGTGTTGAAATGCAGCACGGGCATAGCTAAAACGGGCTACCTGGAGTTGTTGTTCCCGTTGTTGCGAAGGGAATCGCCAATGCGGATCTCGGCTCCATTGAGTCGTTCTGGAAGAGAATCTTGATTTACTATATTAATAGAAAACACTTTACGTGTTTTGAGCAGATCAAGTCGCCACCAGGGGCTCATTGATTTCTGTGTGAGAGTGCAGGAGGCATCTTCCCATTTGCTGTTACGATTTCCATCTATGGCATTAAATGCGTTGCCAAATGCATACAGTGAGGATTGTGTGGCTTTTCCTTGGAGTGCAAGATTCTCCTCTGAAAAAAGAACAAAAGAGTAACTGTGATGTTTGTTGCATGTAGCAAATTATGATAAAGCGAAAAGTTGATTTTTTTTTTCAGTTTCAAGTGAAAGAAAAAGTGATATTAATTCTTGTCAACCTAAGATTTTGAGTTTATACCACAGCTTGCTGATATATTGATTACTGTCCACATTAAATGATATAATAGCTCATATTCTCACCAGTTGGAGTAGGGTATCCATAGACTTCCACTTCGCAGAGTGTGAGGATCCTTCGTGAACCGGTCACAGTCAAAGTTACATACCGTCCCTCCACACGATTGGTAAAAGTCAGATCGAAGGATTTGCCCAAACGAATTCGAGAAATTCTACCAACCCTAACAGAAAATGTGAGAGTTAAATAGTTTACAGCAGCAGAGGTCAGAATATTTAATTTCCAGCATGGTAATGCAACAAATCCAGTTCTACTCAAAAGTATATTGGATTTTTTTACCCCATGAATCAAGTTGGGATGTATTTTTATAGTATTATTTGTGCCTTTAACTATCTGTAACAGACATTTTCCATATATATACATATTCATATACAAAAAACCCTATAAATATAAAGATTGCTGTTTTTTGTTTGCTTGTCATTTTGTGTTGTTGGCTATAAATAAGCAGACTATCTTCTTATATCTTTAAAAGAAAAACCCCAAGTAACCAAATATTGCAGAGATAAGATGAGGAAAAATGCCGAGGAAAGAGTAAAAGAAAAACAAAAGAATGACAATATTGCTGATAATTACGTATTTGTTTATATTTACACTGGGTTATCTAAACCGTCATTGACCAAAGAGTTGCCAATGTGGATCTCCAGCCCGTTGAGCCTTTCATGACAGCAGTCTCCTCTGTTAGTGACGGTGATGGAAGTGATGACGTAGGACTGAAGCAGGTCCACTTTCCACCAGGGATTGGTCTGTTCATTAGTGTGTGTGCACGACCCCGCCATAAAGTCAGAATTGCGGTTTCCATCAATTGCATTGAGGGCAGATGCCCTAGCATGCGGGTAACAGGTTGACTGAGTTGCTTTACCACGTGTAGCCAGATTTTCTGTGAATTAGACCGTTACAATGTATAAAAAAGATCAAATGAAAACAACAACAAAAACAAAACGTTCCACTGCTATCACAGTTTTTTGTAATTGTTACCTCAGGCAAATTGGCTCTTGCACTCAATCTGGCAGAAAATAGTTTTTTAGTAGTTAAGTTTCAGCAAAGTAAAAAGCATCATTGAAACAAGCAAGTGTAAATTAAGTGAGTAAGACAACGCTCCAATCAGAATGTGCTCCACAGTCTCCCTGATGGTGTTGTATGTTGACATTGGAGACTGGTGACAGTTAACAGTATCTGATACATGATGAGAACATGTTGGCCAGGCGTCGTCGCAGCCCCTCCATTTATCTACTCTCTGAAACAACCTGTCTGAGCTCCTCTTCATTTAGAGCCACCTTCATTTTAAGGCATCGTTCTTCTGGTTGGTTGGCTGAATGTCAGGCGGGTGAAGCTGTGTATCTGAGATGACTAGAAATTAATGTCCACACTTTTTGGCATTTTAAATACCAAAAAGATAATAGGATTGTTGGGGAAGGGGCAGTAGGTGGGCTTAGAAAGAATAAAATACAGTTTATACAAAAAGCATTTCTGGGCTTTGGGGGGCATTTTAGTTCTAAGACTACTATGTTGTGCACCATGAAGTTCTTGGTTTGTTTGCTTGCTGGACTATCCCAGCTACCATAGGGTGAGAGGCGGGGTACACCATTGACAGGTTGCCAGCCTGTCACATGGCTAAGAAACAGAGACAGACAACAATTATGGGCAATTTAGAATCACCAATTAACTTAACCCCACAAACTGCATGCCACAGATGGATGGATGGATGTCATTACACAAAATCATAACTGACACACATCTCACACTGACTCTAACATCACACTTACGATAAGTAGAAGCCAAAGTCGTCCTCAGGAGGAGCAGCAAAATGAAAACACTCCGTTTCATCATTCTGGTTTCAAAAGAAACAGAAAATAAACTGTTAGGTATTTTATGTTTTCAACACCAGTTAAGAGAAGCTTTTGTGCAAAAACACACGTGAAAATCTTTGAATAAAACAACCTAAATAGCATTTTATCTTTGCATGCTCCAATCACCATTGGATGGTTGAAAGCTGCCAAAAAATATGCTGACGTGAATAAACTGTCGATTTAAGCTTCGATTCTTTTTTAAGTAGATTGGCCTCTAAAAGCAATTGACAACAAAAAAAGTTAAACCAGAAATTCAAAATAGAAAAAGAAAAGTTCACAGCTGTAAATTGACGATGTAACAGTCTACATTCTATATTCAGATGGTGAGAAAAGAGAAATCTGCACACGGAGGTTTATGTCAAGAAAAGTTTGTATCAAGATTTTTTTTTTCAAGAAATAAAAAGTCTTACCTGAAGATCCGAACAAAGCAGATATTGTTTCCCCTGGGACTGTCAGTGAATCAGAAAAGCTGCTACTGATGATATTTCTTTTATCTTTTGTTTTTTGTATGCATTTCTGCCTTTACCTCAGCAGAAAATATATCATATTCCTTCTCAACACTGTCTAATTACTTCCCACTGGTTTGTGCCCCATGCACATCAGTTTCACTTCCATACTTGTGAATTATATTTCCAGCCAGCGTGCCAGAACACAGATGTTTTCCTGGTTATTTTGCAATATCCTGTTTTCAGTTATTACTCAAGATTTAATCATGCACTATTGCTCAAAAGTGTAGGATTAAGCACTTTTTCTTTTCAGTTCTTTTTTGTTTGTGTGTTTAACCTTAAATTGATTAAAAAATGAATGTTGTAAGTGAACAATATTGATTAATATAATCTTTTCTCATATATCACCTTATTTTTTATTCAAATGGGTTTGAAGAGGTCCGTTTTTAGCATACTGAAGAAAAATCTTAAACCAGATTAAAATAACTGAATGAAATGAAAAAACTGAGTAATTACTTGAATCAACTCTTATCTCCTGAACAGACAGATTATGCATCCTAACAGAAAGTATTTGTTGTATGCTCCCTAAAATGACACACATTTCTTTTTTGACATTGTGGCGTTCACCTTTCCTGGGTTTCAAAGCAAGTTACTTGATGTACAGACAGATCGGAGCTGTGGTGTCTCTCGTGATGAAGAGAAAGCTGAGCAAGAAGGTGAAAGTGTTTTGTGGCTAGTTTAATTCTAACCTCACCTGGGACTATCAACTTTGCATAGTGACCAAAAGAACAAGATACAAGCTGTAGAAAGGAACTTTTTCTGAAATCCTAAACCCATCTACCATCGATGCTGCCTTAACGTGTGTAGTGTTACCAAATATGAACAAATCAAGTAAAACTGCTCAGTGGTACTTTTTTACTTGCCTGGGTGTTAATATACAATATTAACAAATTACATATTTACACGTAGACATTGAGGGCTAGCAGGAGGGACCATGCGCTTACCTGCTGCTCTCTGGCAGGTAGCTCCATGCCCTCCTGGGTTTTAAATGCACCTTAGAACACACATGCATCAACACTACAATGAGCGGGTGGAGGGGGGCTAGGGGGAGGAGTTGGCCGTCCGACTGCGGTCTGGAGTGTGGGGCCTCCCTGCTGCTGCTGCGGAGTCGGGGCGGTCTGCCTCCCGCCACCGCAGGGAAAAGGGTAACACCACCTGGGTCTGGGTGCAGTTCCCCCCTCCAGGGGCAAGGGTACCTAGACCCGGTTTGTAGAGTACGCTTGGGGAGTGTGATCGTGTGTACAGCGTCTCTTTATGTCTGTCTCCACGTTGGTTGAGTGTGGAGTAAGTGCATATGAGAGCATGAGGGTGGGAATGGATGTTTGTATCTGTGTGTGCCTGTATTTCTGTGTCTATATGTCAGGTTGGGGACATCTCAGGCCCTCCAAGGTTTGGAGGCCTATCTCCCCCTACCACCACTTCCCCTGCCAGTGGCGGACTCCCTCAGACATCGGTCCATTGGTGGTTCATTGTGTCCGGGGATGGGCGTCCAGGTACACACCGGCTCACTCCTTGGCGGCCGCTTATCGGGGCCTGGAGCCTGGGGCTCGCTCGGGCCACTTCGGAGGTGGGGTGCCCCCGGCCTCTCGGCCTGGGGCTCGGTCACTCAGGCACAGCTGGCTGCCGGCGGAGCTCACGGGCGCGTCACTGCAACTCCCCTTGGCTTCTGCTCCGCGGCTGCTGGGTGAGCCCTCATCTGGGACTCTCCTCAGCTCTTACTGGGACAGTGGTGCGGCTGCCCCTCTGTTGGTCTTCCATGGTCTCTTGTGTTCTGGGGGCCTCTGGATGTCTGGAGTTTTGATCTCCTCCATACCTGCTTCATGCCCTGGAGGACGGGGCTGTGGCCCCCCCACACCCTCTAGCAGATCATTACATGAAGGAACTTTTTTAAAAAAACAAGCGCGTCCATGCTCACAGGTGTACACACGGGTGATCACACCCACAAACTACACCCTTTTTGGCTCCTACCTCAAAGCACACTGTGTTCTGTTGATCTTATGTGCTGCACAATAATGTTTAACATTTAGTATTTACTGTCATATTCCCATATATCATTGTGATGTTGTTTATTCTATTACTCTTGTTCTCTTCTGCTTGTTTTCTTTTTTAGCAGGTGACCCAGGTGATTGATACATGCATTTTTTTTTCTTTTTCCGCCCGTTCTGTTGGTTTTTGTCTTTTGCCCTTCTCCCCCGTCCCTCTTCTCAGCTGTTTCTCTTTCCCTCTTTCTTTCTCCCCTTCTTTCCCCCGGTCAAGTCTGTCCCGTATTCAGTAAGTGAAAATAAAATAAACAATAAAAGGTGAATCAAATGGACCATTACGGCAAGGCTGGGATGGTCAATTTGGTAAAGTACGGTAAATCCGTTGGGCATCTTTCTTTGCCTTTAGACAACAATTCTGATGGCAAAAGAGCCAAACGGGACAGGCAAAAAAACAAAAAACAAAAAACATATTACAAATACTCAGTGACTTCTGTATCTTGGTGTCTGAAAACAGATAAACAGCTTGTGATTTAGTGATACTATTATATTTATATGTGTGTGTGTGTGTGTGTGTGTGTGTGTGTGTGTGTGTGTGTGTGTGTGTCTGATCTCAGCCAGGTGATACACATTATGAACATCATATAATCACATCATATCAATTTGACAGTGACATAGTTATATCTATTGCGCATTCAGTAATTTCACCAAAAATCAAAACAACTACAGAAACAATTCAAATGACAGCTACGGCAGTGATGTAGTTAACAAAGTTATTCTCTTAAACGGAGGCGTACTAGTTCCTAAGACTAAATATGTACTTAGTTTTTACAGAGACGAATGTTAAATGTATCTATATTTTTTGCAGAATAGAAAAAAAATTATTAATAAAATAAATTCACTTGTGATATTGTTTATTCATACCAAATTTATTAAAAGACGGGATCAAATGTTTAGTTGTCAAGAAAAATTGGAAAGTCATTTTTCTTATACTTTTTTTTTTCAGATGACTGTAAATTCTACAGTTCAGTCAGAACTGAGACGTTCTTTCATCAGTTCTCCTTTTCTCTGACAGAAAAAAACATGATTCATTTCAGTGAAGTTTCCACCGTTCACAAGGTCAGTAAAGACATTCTTAACAAATACATACATTGTGACATTATTATTGCGACATGTGACAATAAATGCATCATAAGCAGGCTGATGTTTGTTTTTCATTGTTGTCACAAAGTGCTGTTTCAACTAAAGAGTAATGGGAACATTTTTTAATATACAGTGTTATCTGTGTATATGTGCTAAGTAGTACAATTAAAGCTGATGTGTTTGCAGGACTCTTTGGTAAAATGTTACAATCACTGAACACTTATACTGTATCGTGGATAACAAAGCAGTTCAAATTATGGCTTTTTTAATTAGATGCAATTGTTTTTCATGATTATATTAAAGCTGTGATTTGTTTTGTTTGTTTAAGAGAGAAATTTAGCTGCTTTAGCATTAATCTAGTCTCGAGCCATACACTTCGACCTCACACAGACTTAGGAACTCATTTCTCTTAGGAATGACGATATTAATGTAACGGCCCTCTGTCCCATTGCACTTGAAAACAGCAACAGCACCTCCTGCAATACCTGTGATCACGGCACACCTGGCAGAAGAAACAGAACATGATCTAGTTAATTATGATCAGAACACTTGTTTTGTTCATGGAATTTAACAACTCAACTCTCAGCCTTAGTTTCAAATATAACATTCATAATGGGCCCTAAAAGTTCACATCAAGTCACTGAGTCAAATCTCAGGCATGTCAGATAAACACACACACAATGAATGTACACTCAGAGTGTTTGCCATAGTTAATGCACACTCAGATCCAACTCTTCCATTTGACTCTGACTTGAATTATTTCAATTACTTCTGCATACACTATTATAATTTCATTAATTGAAACATTGACCATCACCATGCCTATATGCTGTTAAAATGAAGAGTAGATGATGTTTTTATTATTTTTTCTTGTAAATTCATGACTACAACCTGTCAAAATATCAGTTTTTCTTGTAAATCTGTATTGTGTGAGGTTTTTTTTCCCAGTCTTTAATTTCTCACTTTAATCTCATTGAAAACCTGAATTATGCCGTAGCCTCACTGTTGATTATGTGAGGATAAATGCTAACATCTATACAATAATAAACTCACCATGACAATTATAATCATGACTAGTTATGACTTTCGACCTGATTACCCATTTGCCTCAGCATATTAGTATGCTTCCAATTATAACCTGATAAAAAGTAAAAAGTAAGGATGGGGAGGTGTCACCATTTCATTCAGTTTGTCCTGTCTGCATCACCAATTATCACTAATTATGAACGAGCAGAAATGCATTTCTTATGTGGAAATTCTGACACTACGTCAGCTTTAAAGAAGAAAGGGATGGGCGATGCAAACTCTGTTTGCCAGGAACCAAGCTGCTCTCAACAGGTTAGTTAGTTCATAGACTGCAGGCTGTTAGACTTGATGGATAGCATTAACAACCTGCTGGCTGCAAATAATAAGTCTAACCTCAGTCTAATTTCAGCTAACGCCAGCTAACAATGTTAGCTTGGTGGAGAACAGCCTTCAGTATTAGCAATAAATCACAGAGCAATAGGATATTCATATAGTTGTAAAAAGCATGACAATATATTAAGTAATCCAAAATATTCAGAATATAATACTCACACTGAGTAACTTGCAGGATAAGTTACGGAATACATCACAAATGACATTTTGGGGCATGTATTCTGTAATCTGTAGTGGAATACATTTTAAAAGTAACCTTCCCAACACTGACTGCTGTGACCAATAAAGGGAGCAGTCGAAAGAAGAAGAGTATAAGCTGTTAAGACATGCCACGATGAAATGTGAAGTACCTGGGATTATTGTTGCCATCGTTTTCAAGAGATTCTCCAATGCGGATTTCAGCTCCATCGAGTCGTTCTGGTTGAGAATCTTGATTTACGATACTAACAGAAAACACTTTATGTGTTTTGAGCAAATCAAGCCGCCACCACGGACTCATTGATTTTTTTGTGAGAGTGCAGGAGGCCTCTTCCCATTTGCTGTTACGATTTCCATCTATGGCATTATATGCAATGCCAAATGAATATCTTGACGACTGT